TGATCATAAGTAATGACTATGCCACAGATAAGAATCCTACAAGAATCAGACCAAGAGACCTTCTGTGGCTTCTACTGCTGCTTAATAAAATACAAAATGGCAAAAGTTTAATTTCGCTGTTATGAATTTTTAGTTATAAAAAATTTCTTTTAAAGTAAATATTTCTATTTAACTATAAAATATGTATATGTTTTGTACACGAAAGATAAATGTACAGGGATGCAAACTTCTAATTCAGTAAGGTCTCTTTCTCTGGATTAGATAATATTGAAGTTTAAAATTCTCTTTGAATGATTCATATTGATGACCTGAAAAATCTTTTGTGTTTATTTTGCATTCATAAAAATAAAAATGCGAGAAAACTTTACTTACTACTTTGACTCATTAATTCATTTTCCATATTAATATCTTTTTCAATTTGATTTAAAATATCATGCTGAAAAAAAATTATTCCAATTTATTAAATGCTATACTTGTTATTTTAATTAATAAAATTAATAATTATAAATANCAATAATGAAAGATTCTTTGCATTTTTGCAAATAATTTTTGTGAACTATGTATTCACATCTTTTACCAGATGCTTACCCTCTTATATTTAAAAACAAAAGTAATTTATCTGGGTTGTTTGAATTGTTCTTGTATATTGTCAGGAGTAAAGATGAATAGCAATAGGAAAAGCAAAGCTTTTGAATTGAATTCCAGATTAAAATTCCAAAATCACACGGGAGCATGATATAAGTTTTAATCCATTCCCACATGAAAACGAATGATTATTCAGAAATCAGAATTTGGAGAAACTCATAAGTGTAATCAACAGAGAGTGGATTTGACTGTTAAGAACTGGCAAAAAAATGTTCCCGATTGTCCAGCATGAACAAATTATGTTGTCGATTTTACAAGATTTTTCCTTAAAGTTAAAATGCCAGTAATTTTTGTGGGACAATGGTGCATTTATATTCATTTGATACTTTACTTGTGATTAAAGGAAATAAAATTAGAATTGTTTAAAAGGAATCTAATTTTCTTTATTTTGATCTTTAAAGTCATACCTCGTCCTATATGCGAGTAAATACCGGTATTCATTTTTAAACAGTTTCATTAAAATCTTCATTTAAAAATTATGAAAGTACTGTATTGAAAAGTTATAATTTTAAAATTACAAAAATAACCAGCAGATGATTAAGACTTGATTAACTTAACAACAACAACAAAGATTAAGATTATTAGATTATTTCATACTTCTAATCCTTCTATTCTAGTAGCCTGGGACACCCCCTAGTGGGTGTTATAGCAGCAGCAGTGTCATTCCGTGGTATAAATAATAATAAAATAATTATTATTAATAAATTTCTATTACAAATACAAATAATAATATACTGAATTTATTGTTAATTTAAATAATAGCTAGGGGTGCCCCTAGTGGCCATTTTTGGCATACAGTGACAGAAAGAAGGAATCTGGTTTTTCAGCTTTATATATATAGATATATTTAAAAAAGAAAATTTTGATTAATGCACAAAATTAATATCAAGAAAGAATTTTTAAAACATTAAAAATTTGGATAATTTTATTATTCAACAAATAACAATTTATTATGTTTATATTTAAATAGATTTTCAACATCAATAACAGAGCCAAAAATGCATATGACATAAATTTTGACTATCTTACAATATTAATTTTCAAATTCAGTTATTATGAGTCACTGTTTGGCATAATTTTCTGATTAATTACAGTTTATTTTAAGAGTCTACAAAGTATTACTTTTAAAGAAAAATAATTTATCATGCATACAGGCAATAAATTATGCATCATTTTAAAGCTATTATCAACTACTTTGCTTTTCATCATATATAATCAAGATAAATTAGTGAAATATAATTTTAAATACATTTTTTAAACAAATTATCATTGTAATATTTTATTTTATATATTTAGAAATTTATAAACTGTCCTAATAACAATACAAAACAATTATTGATACTGCTACAATTTGTATTGCATAAAATCTGACATAAAATTATCCATTAATAATTTTCTAAGGAATAAAAAAAATTGTTTCTTTTTTATCAAAGAATGTTACAACAACAATTGCACATATATATTTAAAACACATTTTTCTATTGCAATTGTTATGGCATGCTTCAGTTCATCAAAGAATATTTTCTTTTAACAAATGAAACTATTATTATGTATTATTATTTATAATTTTCTGTTTGTTTGGAATTTTGGATAGATTCCAAAACAGATTAACAATGTTTATCCTTATTAATATATTTATAATTTACCTGTTTCATAATTTACAATTTCCTTTTCTGTATTAAAAAAATTAATAGTTAAAATGTCAAAAATGATTATTTATAACTGATGATGTTTCCACACATCAAGTTGATGGCATAATTTCACAGATATCTTACTTTAAATAATGTTATAATATATGAGAGCCAAAACTTTTACAAACATACTTTACGTGTATTTTGTAACTTTGATCTAAATCCAAATATTGCATTTTTGATTAAAAAAAATCCCTCTTTTATTGATAGAATTGATAAATAAGAGACTGAATTTTGTTTCATTTTTAGTACAGCATAAAATTGAAATATTTTTATAGATAATTATGTAAATAATAATATATAATCATAGAANCTAAAACATTTGAAAGTGCTAAGTGAGTAAATCTCAAAATGAATATGCTGCAAAGAGCAAAATTAAGTGAAATTTCAAAATAACTGATATGACATAGTAATAAGGATTAGATAATATTGAAGTTTAAAATTCTCTTTGAATGATTCATATTGATGACCTGAAAAATCTTTTGTGTTTATTTTGCATTCATAAAAATAAAAATGCGAGAAAACTTTACTTACTACTTTGACTCATTAATTCATTTTCCATATTAATATCTTTTTCAATTTGATTTAAAATATCATGCTGAAAAAAAATTATTCCAATTTATTAAATGCTATACTTGTTATTTTAATTAATAAAATTAATAATTATAAATAACATGTTATAAAAATTTCAAAAAATTATATATAATTTGTTTTATTTCACTTATATTTTATGAATTAATTTAATATCACAAAATAAAAATCTTAATTAACAAAAATGCAGTTTATGACAAAGAAACTGAAAAGAATAACTAATTTATTCACATAATCAAATGTTAGAGAATTCCTATATCTATACTTAAAGCTAAAGCAAATGAAATTAACATATTTTAAATAATTTTTCTTGCCTTTTGTTAGTGCTGTATCTTGACTAACAGGAAGAGAATTCCCAATATTGATACTCATTCTTAATAATTCTAACATTTTTCTGCGTTCTGTCAATTCTTCATAAACTCTTAAAATTGAATCTTTCGCTTTATGTTCTTTCCATTCACTTGGGATATCATTATCGGTCAGAAATTTCTCACATTTTCTTTTTGATATAATTTTTCTCACTGCTCTTTTCCATCTTTCTTTTGGATTTATTTTTTCTTCAGGTGATGTTACAAACATTGTTAATGATGATATAGGATTATAACGTAAACGATGACCATAGATAACACTTTTGTCAATATATTCTATGGAGGGTCTTCTACTTTCAGGAACAAATTCATCAACTGGAGGACCTAGCATACAAATGAATTTTTTTTAAATTTTAATTTATTATTAGAAAATATTAAAAATAACTTTTTACATCATATTAATGTGTCATTTCTATTTTATTTTCTGTATATGATATATGAGAAGATTGTAAATGAAATAATAAATCTGAAATTAAACTAAATTATTCATCAGTACAGCATAATAAAGATGAAAATAATTGTTAATAAGCAAATAAAATTTTTATTACAAAAATTTATTGATCATAAGTAATGACTATGCCACAGATAAGAATCCTACAAGAATCAGACCAAGAGACCTTCTGTGGCTTCTACTGCTGCTTAATAAAATACAAAATGGCAAAAGTTTAATTTCGCTGTTATGAATTTTTAGTTATAAAAAATTTCTTTTAAAGTAAATATTTCTATTTAACTATAAAATATGTATATGTTTTGTACACGAAAGATAAATGTACAGGGATGCAAACTTCTAATTCAGTAAGGTCTCTTTCTCTGGATTAGATAATATTGAAGTTTAAAATTCTCTTTGAATGATTCATATTGATGACCTGAAAAATCTTTTGTGTTTATTTTGCATTCATAAAAATAAAAATGCGAGAAAACTTTACTTACTACTTTGACTCATTAATTCATTTTCCATATTAATATCTTTTTCAATTTGATTTAAAATATCATGCTGAAAAAAAATTATTCCAATTTATTAAATGCTATACTTGTTATTTTAATTAATAAAATTAATAATTATAAATAACATGTTATATAGAATTATTTACATAATATTAATAATATTAAAAGACTTTTTGAAATATGTTACAATAATAATTTAAAAGTTAGATTAATATTGATTTATTACATTCAAAAATGAGAGAAATGTAGACAAAAGTAAAAATTATACTTATACTTAACTGACATAAAGAGAAATAAAGCAAAATTATCATGTTTTTCATATGTTTACATTAAAGGAAATGCATGGAATTGTATAAAAAAACTTTATTTTTTTATATGTATTTTATTTTTTATTATTTTATCCTTGTACANATCATATTTGTATAAAATATGAAAATAGAAGATTGTGTAGCATTATAAAGGAAAAATATAACTATAGGTGATTAAAAAATCTCATATGTCACAGCTCACTTATAACTGAAGTGTTGAAAGTCATTAATACATTGTTATCTGATTTTAATCTTATAGTAACTGTAAAATGCACTTAGATCTGAGAAAAGATCATAATACTCATTTCTATAGCAAATTTACTTCATAGAAAAAATTATCAGATCACAATAGCATTGTGTTTTGATAATGTTCAATCTCTAATTGATATTCTATCTTACTTTGAGGAAGAATAAATTTTATTACAATATAAAAATAAAATATTTTTACTAACCTTTCAGAAACAAATCCTGGATAGCTTCAACAGTGTGGTGCAGGACGCTCCATAATTCAGCCTCCGTAAGAGATGAGCCTCTGACCTCCAATATCTCCAATAAAGTAACATGGACATTTTCCAAAACTGGCATGCTACAGTGATAATAAGCCATATCAAGTTTCTGCATAAGATTTTTCCATTTTGGTTCTCGAAGATCGAGACCCAATGGATTATTCTGAAAAACTAATTTACTCATTATAATTAAGTGAACAAATTAGACTAATGTCTTAAAGCAAACACTTTTAAAATATGACAACAAAATCATGTCATTCCTTTTCTTGTTTGATATAAAATTCAAATGTAGTGTAGAAAGACAAAATCATAAAATATATAAATTCAGAGAGAGATAACAGATCAAATTGTTACTTCACTCTATAATAATTTCTCTCAGTATGTTTTCTGAAACAGGAAATTTCATAATACTCCAACATTTACTATGGATTTTAACAAACAGGATTAACAATACTGAAGTCATAAGGAATTTCCTGTAGAATCTAAATTATCTAGCAATGCAAAATCTGATTGGTAAATACGTGAATGACAGTCAAACATCTAAGGTTTCTTAAAAGCAATTTTGCAGTAGTTAATTCTACATTTTGTTGAGACAAATATTTATTGGAAGGGTGTTCATTTTAATAACTGCAAACTATTTTCTAGCTATAAAGAAATTTTTAAATATATATTTTAAAATTTTTTCTATTTTATTCTTTAANATATAGAAATAAATTTTCTAAATTTTTCAAAGTCTAGCATTTTAATTTTCCTTCAGATTTACAGAATTAATCATTCTTTCATGCTTATTGTCTTAATGAATATCCATGTTAAAAATGATTAAACAATTTGAGTTTTACGATATTTAAACTACTGAATCTTTCTTTTTAAATACAGTAAGAAACAATTGTTCTATGGAACTGATTATCATTCACTAAAAGTTCAATATTGTATATAAATGACTTATTTGCTTATATAACTATTAATTTGGATATTTATTAAAATGATTTTCAATATGATGATATTTTGATTTAAATTGAATAATTATGTAATGATTATCTTAATGAATTTTTTATTTACACTTCACCAAAATTTCAAAAATAATACATTAAACAGACTGTCCTTCAGAATTAACAGCTTTTTTTGAAACAAAATATACATGCAAGTTCTTTTGTTTGACAAGATATTATTGTCTTTATCAGGCAAGAAATTTTATATCTATATATAAAATTTTTTGTTATAAAAAAGCACTTATTTATATTTTTTTGTTTAAAAAAGCTGTTAACACTGAAAGATAGTTTATTTAATATGTTATTTTAATGATTACCTTTTAACATCTCAGCAAAAATTTACTCTTTTAAAAAATAAACATAGTTTCATAATTTTTTTTTATCATTACTCAATTAAATATTTCTTGAAATACACATAGAAGAAGGAATGCTATCTGAAACTTCTGAATTGTGCATTTATAAAAAAAAATTAATTTAACATTACTAGTTTTAAGAATATTCTTTTAAATGTAACCAACAACAATGTACCTGTATTTGTTATCAATGCTATTTGTAATCATTGATAACATTATACAATATTTTATATAATCTTATATCATTTTACAATACTGGAACTGAATTGTATATCATTGATTTATTTAATTCTCTTAAGTGAATAAATTATCTTATATACTTAAACAATTTTAATTAATTAGAACTTAATGATTTATTTTAATTATAAAAAATCAATTTTTAATTTTATTTTTATTTTAGTTGATCTAAAATCACTAGATTCCTTTCAAGTTTAATTATTAAAATTCTTATAAAATAGAAACTTTTAATTAATTTTAGAAACGATTAGAAGAAAAAGATTGCTTAAGATATTCAAGATTTATTCATATTTATATGTTTTTGGGACTACACATTCCATCATCACAATCTACATAAATTGGAACAAAAATGTTCAAGATGCATTCTAAAGCTTTTGAGCATTACATCTGATTTTATTTTTCTTATTTTACTGTAGTCATATCCTGTTATTTATTATTTTTGTTTGGTATATTTTACCTGTTTACCTCTTATTATTATTATTATTATTATTATTTAAAGTTCATTTATGGTCTGTTATATGATTGAACTTTTAAATAAAACTTTGAAACTTTCAAATGTTCAAATGCTTTAAAATGCATCTTTGATATTTTTGTTCCAATTTATGTAGTACCATCTGATAATGATATGTTTAATTTGAAAAATGTTTAAATCTGAATAAATCTTAGATTCCTAGAGTAGATAAAATTTTTTGTAAATATTATCTGTAAACACATATGTGTGATGTAATTGTAACTATTATTTGTATATAAATAAAATTCTTTTATTTACTTACTTCAATGTTATTTTATACAGAAACTGGTAATGGACACGATCAATCAAATAATTAATTTCTAGCTAATAAACATCCTGGAAGCAATCCAGTTGTGTTTAGTTCTCAATTTAGCATTTATTAAAATATATTCTTAATTTTGGATTAATGTGGTATCTAGCAAAATGGTACTAGATTATTTAGAATACTATGCAGATAAGTCTGTATCAAATCTCAGGGATGGTTGTAGTCTATATTGATCTGAGATCCATCCACCCTCCTTTCCAACAAATACCTGGAGACTGATCTCCTGGTGAGGGTAAAGTTAGCATTGACATTGGATTAGCTACCCCATTTACTTTTCTGGGAAAAACAGGAAATTTATATAACTGCTCTCTCTTTCTCTGGCACATCTTCATGAAACATTTTGACTTCTTTACACATATTATTAATTCTACATTCTAAGCAAGTGATTAATTGCTATTTAAGTAAGCTAAGTATCTGCATACAATTTGTATTTGCCATATTAAAAGACTTTTTTACAAAACAATATTTCATAATTACATAATAAATGCCTTTTTTTACAGTGATTTTGAATATTGTGATTTATAAATGCCTTTTATAAATCACAATATTCATTTATATTCTGAATCTAAATTTCTAATATTATTTTAAATTTATAGTGGGCCTATTAAATTTTTAAAACTTTATCATATACTGTACATGATGAATAAAAGTTCTCAAATAATAGAAATTAAATATTTTATGTCTTGTTACAAACATAAAATTCTCTTTACAACTGTCATTATCAGAGATCAAACATAAAAAAACAATTTTTTTTACAAATATTTCATGCATACAGAAAATCAGAAAACAAAAAATAATTTTTTTTTAAATATTTATTTTGATATTAAAAAATGTTAATATTTGTTTGTTTGTCAAAATGCACTTGGTCAATAAGTAATGCTTGGTTTGGCTTATTATTTTTGTTTAAATAAAGATTTATTAGAGGTAATTTCTAAACAAAGAGTATATGGTATATACTAAGAATATTATATATATATAAACAAGTATGATTTCTTTTCAATATAGAAAAAAATTGTTGCTAATTTGTGTTACATTAGGTCATCTGATGCCAATATATAGTAAGTTACATTGATGATAATAAAGTTTTAAATAGTTATATCCACCAAATATTAATAGAAAAAAGATAATATATACATTTAGAGTTTAGTATATTTTCTCTTTTTCTACATTGATGATGTTCTAATAATAGGGAAAGGAAAAGAGAAATTATAGTAATTTATATAACAGATAAACAATAATTCTGTAGGGGTAGCTCTTAAGTTAATATACAGCATCATCCACATCACTAATTTTCTTGACATAAATATATAGAAACATGGCACAAATTTATACACAAAAGTAATTCATAAAGCAGCTGCTTTAAAACTTCATATATATATTTTCAATCAGACGGCATAATGCAACACAAATTAGCAGCAACAATAGAGTACTAGTAAGTAGAGCAATATTGCAGTCAACTACAGACAAGGTTAGAAATGAGGAAATTCGGCAAATCAAGAGTTTAGCAGAATAATGTGGATTTCCAACAGAAGTGATCAAATGCATTAAAAAAGAAGAAATGAATACAAAAATAAAAACATGCATTAAAAAAAGTTATGATTGCAAGCAAATCAATAGCCACAATAGCAGAAAAATAAGTGAGAGAGGCAGGGTATAAGTTAGGAGTAAAAATGAATTCGTCAATTATAAGCATTCTCAGAAATAAAAAGATAGCATTTGTGGGCTATTGAAGGCAAGAATATATATGGAAGAATTACAAAAAACAATGAATGTTATTGATCCATAAAGTCTATGACCAAATCTATAAATAAAAGAATGCTTTAATTCAGTGATTTCAAGTAATAATACCAATGTCACAGTGCTTATGCAATGGGCATGGTAAATACATTAATTTACCATGTGAAAGTGACTTGAAAAAAAAAAATTAGTTTTATTAAAAGAATGCAGGAAAGGAAACCTTATTTGTGTATTAGAACATAGAAAAAATTGTTCTAATGTTAATTTGTATAAAAGAGAAGTTTGTAAAGTATCACTGACTTGTGAGTGAAACTGATGATAGTTAAATAGTAGCTGAAAATGTTTTTTTGTTAGAAATTTAAGTTTTGGTCTCCTTAAAAAGCAATTGTCCAAATCTATAAACAAGAGAAAAATAATTTTTTTTGAATTAAAACTATTGTAAGAAGCCATTATATTAATTTCTAAATCATTAAAAATGAAACAAAATTGCTGAAAAAAGCCAAATTAATATCATAATATCAAATTTTACTAATCACTAGACTTTTTCCAAATGCAAACATTTGCTAGATAAACAGGTTACAAATGTATAAATCAGACATGTTAAAATTAGCAACAATTCATTAGCAAATTCTATAAAGATATGTTCTCCAATATAATAGAAAGAGAAACTAATATCACATTTTCTTGCATCTCCTTCAAGTATACCAAAATTTCAACAGAAGAAATGTGACATAGTAAAAATATTATCATTTATATAAAGTGAATTAATCATGTGCTGCTGCAAATGCTCTTCTTGAAGTAAGTAGTTGTTAATTTTAGTAAACTTCATTTTTTAATGTTTATCTGTACTTTTAAAATAAGCATAATTGTTTTTACATTAAAAATTATCATCATCATTAATAGAAAGTACTAAAATCTAAACTGGAAT